AGACTCCTCAATTCACCAAAGCCAAAGACAACTTAGAAGGTCAGTGGAAAAACTCTGTTTCTGTGGATTCTGAGAAAGGAAAGTGGGATTTCAGCTCCACTCCCCAAGAGCATGGCCCTGTGGGGGGCAGCTGCTTCCCGAGCTTCCGGCCCATGGACTGAGGGGGAATTGATCCGAGTGGCTGATCAGAGAGGGATTGCAGGGATCTCTTTGCCAGTGCTGAGGCAGGAATCTCTTGCTTTGCCAGTGTTTGGATCCGGGCCACAGTTCTGGGCAACGGTGCTGGGGTGAGGAGGAAAGCTGGCTTGGTGGAGCTTGTAATGATTGTGGAGAGGAGCCCCTTCTCAAAGTTACAGGACAGAAAGGAGTACTTGTAGTCACAGGCCAGGAAAGGAGTAAACACCTTGCCCCTTACCATGCCAACTTGGAAGAACTGAAAATGTACAGGTCCCTACAAGTATCTCTGAAAACAGCTACACAAACCCCCAAAGCTTGGGACAGTACATTCTCCACATTGGAAGCAGATTCGTACCTTAACAAAGAGTTTAAAACTCAAGTAATTGGCTGGGATCATGAGCAAGCAGTGCAAAAAGAATCAGACTACGTTATCTTACTACGGTGAAAAAGAAGACCAAAATATACAACCAGAAGAAGACAACAAAGTCAAAGCCCTTACATCCAAAGCCTCCAAGAAAAATATGAATTGGTCCCAGGCCATGGAAGAGCTCAGAAACGATTTTGAGAAGCAAGGAAGGGAAGTAGAGGAAAAACTGAGAGTGATGCTAAAGGAGACCCAAAACAATACTGAAGAAAATAACACCTTAAAAAATACTCTAACCCAAACGGCAAAAGAGGTCCAAAAAGCCAATGAGGAGAAAAATGCCCTAAAAAGCAAAATTGGCCAGATGGAAAAGGAAGTCCAAAAGCTTACTGAAGAAAATACTTCCTTAAAAATTAGAATAGAGCAATTGGAAGATAGTGACTTTATGAGAAATCATGACACAGTAGAACAAATCCAAAAGAATGAAAAATTAGAAAACAATGTGAAATATCTCATTGGAAAAACAACTGACCTGGAAAATAGATCCAGGAGAGAGAATTTAAAAAGTATTGGACTATCTGAAAGCCATGATCAAAAATGAGCCTAGACATCATCTTTCAAGAAATTATCAAGGAAAACTGCCCTGATATTTAGAACCAGAGGGCAAAATAGAAATGAAAGAATCCACAGATCTCCTCCTGAAAGAGATCCCCAAAGGAAAACTCCTAGGAATATTGTAGCCAAATTCCAGAGTTCCCAGGTCAAGGAGAAAATATTACAAGCTGCCAGAAGGAAACAGTTCAAGTACTGTGGAAACACAATCAGGATAACACAAGATTTAGCAGCTTCTACATTAAAGGACTGCAGGGCATGGAATATAATATTCCAGAGGGCAAAGGAGATAGGATTACAACCAAGAATCACCTACCCAGCAAAACTGAGTATAATCCTTCAGGGAAAAAATGGTCATTCAGTGAAATAGAGGACTTTCAAGCATTCTTGATGAAAAGACCAGAGCTGAATAGAAAATTTGACTTTCAAATACAGGACTCAAGTGGAACATGAAGAGGTAAACAGGAAAGAGAAATCATAAGAGACTTATTAAGATTGAACTGTTTACATTCCTGCATGGAAAGATGATATTTATAACTCATGAGACCTTTGTCAGTATCAGGGTAGTTGGAGGAAAAAAATTATATGTATGTATATGTAGATAGATAGATAGAGGGCACAGGGTGAGCTGAAGATTAAGGGGTCATATCTGGAGAATAAAATTAAGGGATGAGAGAGGATTATATTCGAGGAAGAAGAAAGGGAGAGGTAGAATGGGGTAAATTATCTCACAAAAAAACAAAACAGAAAAGTCTCTTACAGTGGAAGGGGAAACGGGGGAAGGTGAGAGGGAATGAGTGAATCTTATTCTCATAGGATTTGGCTTAAGGAGGGAATAACATACACATTCAATTGGGTATGGAAATCTGTCTTACCCTACAGGAAAATAGGGGAGGAAGGGGACAAGAGAGCAGGGGGATGATAGAGAGGAGGGCAGATTGGGAAAGGGGTTAATCAGAAGTAAATACTTCTGAGGAGGGACAGGGTCAAAAGAAAGAATAGAATAAATGGGAGGGCAGGATAGGATTAAGGGAAATAGAGTTAGTTTTTCACAACATGTCTCCTATGGATGTATTTTGCATAACTACACATGTACAACTTATATTGAGTTGCTTGCCTTTTCAATGAGGGTGGGTAGGGAGGGAGGAAGAGAAAAATTTGAAACCTAAAGTTTTAAAAACATATGTTTAAAAAAATGTTTTCACATGCTACTGGGAAATAAATATAGGAAATGGGGTACAGAAGTCTATCCTGCCCTACAGGAAAATAGAAGGGGAAGGGGATAAGAGAAGGGGAGAGAGATAGAAGAGAGGACAGAGTAGGGGAAGGGATATTCAGAATGCATGACATCTTGGGGTGGGGGGAGGGGGAGATGGGGTGAAAATTTGGAACTCAAAAACTTGTGGAAGTGAATGTTGAAAACTAAAAATAAATAAATTTATATATATATATATATATATATATATATATATATGTATATACACACACATATATAAAGGTAGATGAAACTCAGTTTTATACTGATAGCAACAATCCAAAGCACTTTTATGATGCTGTGAAAGGTATTTGTGGGCAGAAGGTCTATGGTGCATCTCAATTACTTAGTGCTGATGGAGCCACATTAGTGATAAGGACATGATTCTGGAGAGATGGGCTAAATACTCCCATAGTGTTCTCAACAGACCATTACAATGCTGAAGCCACTGACCGTATGCCTCAGGTTGAAGTCAATCCCTCTCTAGCCAAATTTTCAAGTGAAGAAGAGGTTTTGAATATCATTAAGTTCTCATGTGGCAAAGCACATGGTGCTGATTATATTCCAGCGATATTTACAAGGCAGGGACTCAAAGAAAAGCTCGCTGAAATCTTCTCAGTATGTGACAAGAGGAAGTTATCCCCCAGGACTTCAAGGATGCCTCCACTGTCCATCTCTATAAAGGGAAAGGAAATAGATTGCCCTGTGACTATCCTAGGGGACCATTTCTTAGTCTCTTAGTCATTGTTGGCAATATTCTTACCAGAGTCCTCATTAATAGGATTATCCCTCACCTGGAAGATGGTCATCTACCTGAGAGCCAGTGGGGCTTCAGAAAGTACTGAGGAATGGTTAATATGCTATTTGCTGTCTATCAATTCCAGGAGAAATGCCAGGAGCAGAACAGAGATCTGTACACATATTCGTCGATCTGACCAAGGCCTTTGATACTGTCAGTCATGTGTGCTTGTGGAAAATCATGGCAAAATAACGTTGCCTGGAGAAGTTTATCAGTACTGTACATCAATTTCATGACAGCATTCTTGTACAAATTATGGATAATGAACTATGCTGTTATGCTTTCCCAGTCCCCAATCGAATGAAGCAGAGCTACGTGATTGATTGCTCCCATGCTTTTCAGCATGATGTGTTTAGCAATGTTGTCAGACCCTTCAATGAGGACAAAAACAGCGACAAGATCAGCTAGAGCACTGACGGTAAATTATTTAACTTGAAAAGGCTACAAACCCAAGACTAAAGTGGAGGGAAAGTTGGGGTGTCACTTTTTGTCTACAGATGATTGTGCACTCAATGCAGCCTCTGAGGCTGAGATGCAAGCATATGGATCTATTCTCTGCTGCTTATACCAATTTTGGCCCAACAATTAACACCAAGAAAACACAGGTACTCCACCAGTAAATGGAGAAGTTCTGAATGCTGTGGATAAGTTCAGTTACCTAGGCACTATACTTTCCAGGAATGTACACATAAATGAAGAGGTTGATGCATGCAGTGCTAGAGCTAGCTCAGTGTTTGGGAGGTTCTGAAGGGAGAGAAGAGGTATTAGACTGCCTACCAAACTGAAGATCTACAAAACCATCGTACTGACCTCATTATTGTATGCCTGTGAAATCTAGACAGTATACCAACACCATGCCAGGAAATTGAATCATTTCCATTTGAATTTTCTCAAAGATCACCTGGCAAGAAAAGGTACTCGACACTGAAATCCTTTCTTGAACTGAACTGCCAAGCATTCAAACTCTAATTGCAGAGAGCACAAAGCCACAGTGTTCAAATGCCAAATGAATATTTACCTAAAAGACCACTTTACAGAGAATCCCCACAAGGCAAGCACTCACGTGGAGGTCAGAAGAAATGATACAAGCACACTTTCAAGGTCTCTCTGAAGAAATTTGGAATTGATGGTAAGACATAGGAAACAATGACACAGGACCCATGGTATGACCACATAAAAGAAGATGTTATGCTCTGTGAGCAAAGCAGAATTTCAGTAGTTCAAAAGAAATATGAGATGTACAAATTTAGAGACATCTTTACTCCAAATGTTCATATGGTCTATTTGTGCCTAAATTGTGGTAGAGCATTCTGAACTCGTATTTGTCTAATCAGCCACAGTGAAACACACTGTACTTTGACCCCAACATAGTGATGTTATTTTTCGGTCCTCTTCAAGAATGAAGGACAGTAACCATATTCTCTATTTACTTAGGTGCAAACAAGTTGAATATCCCTGTTAGAATGCAAGTTCCTTAAGGTAAAGTTCCAGAATCTCACTTTAATATTTGTATCTCTGGGATCCATCATAGAACCTAGTACTTTAAAAGGACTCAGTAATAAGTATATAATAATGCTAATTGATTGATTCCACCTTTGGTTCTTGCGGTCTTCCCAAACATTATCCCGCATCCAGCTTCTTGAATCGTCTTTGAATATTATACTTTTTATCTTTTATATAAAAACACTAAAAGTCCCTTCATGCATAGGACAAACTTGAGACTGAGAGCTTAGCTTACGACCTCCTCAAGAATGAACTGCAATTAAAAAACTTTTAGTTACCACAGATCATACCTTTGCTGTGCAGTTGTCTAGCTCCTCTTTTAGCTTTGAACTTTGTTTTCCCCATTCTTCTAATGTACAATTTCCTATCTCTTTTTCTTTGTGACACAGGATTTGTGCTAAATGTTGATGAAGATACTGAAGGTCTGCTTCATTTTCAGTGTTCTTTTGGAGAAGTTCTGCATTTTCCAAATCCAAGTGCTGATTTCTGGCTTTTAATTCTGAAACCTAGTTAAAATGGAAACTGAGTCATCTGAAGCGACTTTGTCCATTTCTCCTAAAGAATAGATATAGCAACTTGGGTCTTTCTGCCGCTCACCCCACCAGCCCTCTATATATAGTTTCTCAAAAGTCTTTCCCATTACAGGTAGGCATTATGAGAATCATGAGATAGGGATTTCCTCTAACTCCTCTTTCATTAATTCTAATTCTGGGTAATGGTATGTAATTGATTTTGCAGTCTGTGTTTATTGGGCTCTGTCTTCTCTAATAATCTGCTTTCAGACAAAGTTGCACAACTTGAAGTAACAAAGTATTCTCTTTTACATATTTGGACTCTCCAGTGTCAAGTTTTCATCATCCTGAAATGTTCATTAACTATTCAGTGTCTAAAGATCTTTTATGGACTGAAGAGGACAGAAAACAACAAAAGATACTTTTCCTAGAGCTTCTAGTCTATCCTCTGATTTTGATTTCAGTGTCACATATGAATCCAAAGAAAAATTGTATGAGGCTACTTAAATGTGATCATTTCTAACAGAAATAGAAATTTTCTAAATCAAGAAAAATTGAAATTGGAGAATATAAAAATCCATTTACCTGTTTTTTAAAGTTTTCGACCATCTTCTGTATAGTAATTTTTTCCTTGTTTACAGTCTCTATTTTTTTCCTAAAGTGACATTGGAAAGAAAACTTTAAATTTGATCTTTTAAAATTACAGTAAATTTTAGTTCTTGTAATGATTCCTTAAATGTTTGGGTAAATATAACGAGTATACAAAAAATATTTATATTCTTACCATATTTCTTCTTGAGATCCCCTTAATTCCCTTAATTTTAGGTAAGAAATGCTACCTTCTCCATTTAAAGTGGTAAATTCCTTCCCTAAAATAGAGTTTTCTTCTTGAAATTTTTCAGACTCCTGTCTAAAGTGCAGAGAAAAAAATAGAATTAAAATAAGGCAAGCATCTGGCATTTTTAGAAAACATTTTTAGAACCCTCCAAAAAGGCAAATGCTCTAAAGCCATTGAGAAGAAAAATTTTCATTATTTTTACTTGGCAATAGGTTGCCAAGCACTATTGAACGAAAAGCACTATTGAAAAACACATCAGGAAAAAGTAGGCTGAGGAAAACTAAAACATAAGGCTAGAAATGGAAGTTAAACCTAATTTTTCCAGCTTTGTGTGTCAGCTTTGGGGCTTAGCTTTTGTGTGTCTCAAAGCAACCTGTGTTTGTTTCAATTGTAGACTATGCTGATATAAAAGATGACCCATCACAACAATTTTAGAACTATGTTGTCAAAATCCCAAAATTAATTCTGTGTGTGTGTGTGTGAGTGTGTGTGTGTGTGTGTGTGTGTAAGAAAGAGAGAAAGAGAGAGACAGACAGAGACAGAGAGAGAAAGAGACAGAGAGACAGAGAAGAGAATAAGAATATCTAGTAATATAACAGAAAGGAAAGGGAAGAGGAACTTTACATTCAGAATTGGGCTATGATTTGTTTTAAGGCAACAGTCCCAAAAAACAATTTTAAGAAAAACAATTTGCTACCTTAAGCTTTATGTCATATAATCTAAATGGGTAGTGGTTCAATTTAGCTTTACATTTGTCATAAATACACAGGAATATGGATTTCTAGGTATTGATAGTCTTCCCTCACCCCCACTAAGGTTAAGATTTCTTTGATAAAAGGGAATATTTCCTAATGTTTACTTTAAAAGAAATCAACTCATATTGAAAGCAAATGATCACAAAGCTAAAAATCAAGAAGAATGCATTCATCCTAGGTTAGTGTTAAGAAGTCTTATTTGTGATGACAATTATACACAAAGGCTATTCTAAAACATGTCTCATTAAATGAAGCAATTTCAACATCTTTGGCAAAAAACAACCTTAAAACCAAATAGAGTGGCTGATGGTGTGCTACTTGGAAGTTGTCTTAGCGTGATTTTGTGCCTGTTGTGATGTAGATAATTAAATAGCAAAAATAGAAGTTTTTAATTTTTACATCTCATATTAGAATACTTTGCTCTACTAAAGAGGAATTGCAATCAAGAGATTTTCTTCTAGGAAAGGTTACTCTACTTGTTAATACAGAAGTAGATGGAATCAACAATGCTACTCGGGCTTCTCCAAGATTGACAGATTAGTTTCTCTAAGCACAACAAGCAGCAGAAGTTAGGGGAGTTAGAGTCAGGTTCCATAAAAAAAATTTATAGGCATACATTACCTCAGTAGTTCAACTTTGTGCTGCATCTCACTGCACGTGTTTTGTAAGTCATACATCATTGACTTCAGTTCCTCCTCTTTTTCTCCACGAGTAGGTAGATGTTTTTGTTTAGCTAAATTAGTTACTTTCTCTCTTAATTGCCTGGTCAGCTCCTGTAACTTGTTTTTCTCCAATTCTAATTCTGCTATTCTTGTGTCATTACAGTGAAATTTCCCTTGAAGGTCTGAGAATACAGCATTTTCCTCAGTTTTTAAGCTGGGTCTGTCTAGTTGAGTTTTCTTCAGGATTCATCTTTCCCTGAAGCCAGAAATCTTCAGATACCTTTATTTTGTCTAGAGGCCATGTGTCTTCCTGCCCACAGGTCAGGTTTTCTTGATTACATTCTTTTAAAACAGACTTCACATTCATAAGTTTTTCATCCCATCGTTCCAGCCTTTTATTTTGTTCTAGTATCTTTTTTTCAGCTTCTAGTTCTTGGGTGTCTAAACCAACTTCACTTAAAGAGAAACACTCATACTGCTCCACTGATCTTTCCTGGAGTTTCTCAATCTTATCCTCAAGTCTCAAAACTAGAGTCTTCAGGTCTTCATTTTCAATTTTAACTTCACCATAGCTCTGTTTAATCCTGAGGAATGCTTTAGTTACTGTCTCAACTTTCTTCAGCTCAGTCTGCAATCTGAAAACTTCTGAAGTGAGATCTCTGTTATTTTCCATTTCCTTATTATATTGTGCTTCCATCATTTTGAGTTCTTCCTGAAGACAGTAATTTTCCCGATTGGCGTCCTCATATAACATCTATACTTGGCAATAGCCTCAGGATTATTCTCAAGTACTTTTACTTTCTTTTTTAGAATAGAAACATCAAAAATTAAATCCTGCTTATTGTCAGAAGCTTGATCAGACTCTGTGTGTAAGACCTTCAATCTATCCTGAAGATGAGGAAACTTATTTTTTAGGTCCAAACTCTCAGTACTTGTTACTTCATTATTCTCTAACTCAGAAAAACCCTCTAATGATCCTAAAGACTCCTGCGTTTTAGTTTCTAGTGTCTGAAAAGAACTTATTTCTGTCCTTTCCGATTCTTGAACATTGTCATCTAGTGATTCACATAGACTATGGGTAACAATGCCTTCGCCTTGTTTTATTCTGTTTTGTGATGAAAGTATCTCTATTTGTTCCAGTGAAGTTCTGAATAAGTCATCATTTGACTCCTCTAAAGAAGCTAATGTCACTGACTCTGGATCTAATTTTTGTAGCCTCTGATGTAACTTGATGATTTCAGCAGCCATTTTGACATTTTCCTTTACGGCCCTCTCATGGGCCCGTTGCAGATTTATGAGAATATCACCATTTTCTTCCAAAAGTTGTGTACCTTGCTGAACCAGTGACATCTCACTAGCCATGTCTGCATTTTCACTTGTTTCTACTTGGTAGCTACTCTGAGGCTTGGTAAGTATTCCATGCTGCAATTCCTTTATCTTATTCTGAAGTCTAGGAATTTCTAAACTTAGCTCAACTTTCTCTCTGTCTGCTTTCTCACAAGTTTTTTTGTTGAAGTCCTCCATTGTGAGAAATTGAGAAGCTATGTCTTCCTTTTCATATTCACACTTAATCTCTTGCTCTTTAAGTTTCTGCCTATCTAATTTCCCTGTTTCATCTACCTGAGACGTGAAACGCTCGCCATCTTTAAATCCTTTTTCATGACTGTTCTTGGGCTCAAATATTTGCTTGAACATTTGGTTTTGCTGACTTTCAGCCACATTCCTTAGTTCCTCTAGGTCTTTTTGCAGCTGCTGTTTCTCAGCTACTAAGCTGATTAAATGTTCTTTATATTTCTTCTCTAGTATCTCTTGCTGTCTTGTCAAAGCAAGAAAGTTTGCTTTCTCATGTTTCAGTGTCTGTTTAAGTTGTTCTTGTGCTTCAGCACACTCCTGGATGAGTTCATCCTTTTCAAATTCCCACTTAGATTTTTCCTCATATTGCTGTTCCATTAGGTCCTTCAGCTCTTGCTGATAGGAATCTTTCAGGTTTATTAGGAAGTCTTCATATTTGCTTGGGACTTTTTGGCATTCATTCAGAAAATGGGCTTCTATGTGAGAGTTTCTTCTATTATACTCAATTTCCATTTTATTCCTAAATGTGGTTAACAGACAGCATTACTGAAACTGCTGCCAACTCATAAAACAAATAGCAACATTTTCCCCAACTCCACCCTTTTCCCTATATGAAAGTTATTGTGAAGGTTTTGCATACTTCTAAAAATAATTAGCCACTTTTTTATGTGAAAAATATAAAAGGAGTTTGAGTCTAAATACAGGAAAAAAAGCTATCATAAAGGCACACTGACCTCATGAAAGCTTTTTAAAACTATTTTTTCTATAGAAAAATGACTTTCCTCCTCCATGAGAATAAAATTCTGAATAGCATGCCATAAAGATAAGGAGCTTACTAATTGAACTCAACACCTAAAATGACATTAAATACACAAGTGCATATTAACATAACTCTCACCTTGGTTAGGCAATGTATATAATCTGTCAACTTTAAATGAGAACAATTCTTTAATTACTTTTAGAATATTAATCAGATTATCTGCAAATATTTAGGAATGAGTTTAGTTGTTTTGTTTTGTGAAATAGCATAAGATTAAGCACGGAATCCAAATATTATTTCATAGTTCAACTTATGAAATATGACTACACTCTGAACAATGCAGTATGATAGCATTTCTACTTACACATCTGAAACTGCACTGGGAAAAGCTAAAATGAACACGAAGTATTAGATCAAGCTACTGAGAGACCTTCCTTTGTGCTAAACTCACATTAATCCTAGTTGCAAAACAATTATGAACATATTTGGAATGGAAAGAGGCCTTTGAAATAATAGGCCAAAATTGTGCTAGTCCTGCTCTCACATCATTCTAAATGTGCTATGTCACATGTGTGGTATTGTATGCCAACAAGCCTTGCTTAAAAAAAAAAAGACAAACTCATCTTCACTTACATAGCAGTCTTAATAATCTAAAGCTAGTACTGTGCCTACATGATGCCAAAATTTGTTTTTAGAAAATGGAAAATTTCCAGTAGACTATTAAATTGTTACTGAGCTTACTGAACTGATTGAGTACTTTTAATGTCATGCAGAGCAGTCTCATTTAACTCTTACTCCACTTATCTTTGGTTTCTTACCTTTCCTCCTGCAGTTTGTTTTGGTGCTTTTCTAGTAGTTTCTTTTGTAGCTCTTCTTTCTCAAGAGCATGTTTTTCCATTAGGCTTTTTAGCTGCTCCTGGTAAAATTCTTCAAGTTTATGTTTCTCTTCTTCCTTTGCCTTAACTAAGTCTCTCATCTTCTCTTCAGCCCAGGTACCATTTTGAATGAGACCCTCCCTCTCTCTGTTAAAGCTTTCCTCTACCTGCTGCAGTCGATTCTTGAGAGCTGCTTCATGTTCTAACTTCAGCTTCTCCTGGAGATGAGCCTTTTCTTCATTAAACTTCATTTGTAATTCATTTTTCTCCTTTATATACCTACAGTCTGTTTGTTGTTGTTCTTTCTTCAGAGCAACTGTCTGTTTCTGTAGTTCTGCAATTTCAGTTTTAAGGGCACTTAATTGTTTTTCCAAGGCATGCATCTCATTCTTGTACTTTTGTTTCACATTTTCTTGCTCTTTTTCACAGTTGGCCTTGGTTTCATCTAACTGCTTTTCATAATGGATCATCTACAGCATAAATAAGAGAAGAAGTCATTTAATTTCAAAATCAAATAAAGGAACAAAATGATGATGGTTGTCTCCTTCAAGACTTTTCCTCCAGAGACTCCAAAATTTTTGCTATATGAGTATATACACAGTGGAATCTCAGGAAAATTATCCACCAAAGTCAGCTGTCCACCAGATGATCCTACTATGTCATACTAACAGATACATTGGATGTCACCTAGTATCTAGACCCAGAGGTAGTTTCTGTGTAAAGAATCTGTTTCAATCTTTTCAAAGATTTTTACTTGCTCCTCCTATCTCATCTTAATTTATCTGGATTTGGCCCAGTTTTTTTCAAGGCATAGCCATGCTAAAACTGAAAATATACAATCAAAATCAGAACATATAAGTGTGCACAAAATTAAGTTTTCATGTTGCTTCTGAAATAGATCAAATTAGTCTAAAAATTTAAATCAAACTAAAATTTCATTTTGTATTTTTAATCATCCTTGTGATTATACACTTTGGGTATGTGTCTGTGTTTGTGTGTGTATGTATAGGAATTTTAACCAGACTAAAAGTGGCATAAGAAACACTGTTTCCTGAACTTTGTCATATTTCTTCTTCAATATGCTGCACTGTTTTAGTGATTGCCTCAAAGAAGCTTATTCTTTAATTTGGTGTATCTTCATGTAGACTACATTTTAAATTATGTAAGTAAAAATTAAAATAATAAAAAGGACAAAATTGTAAAATTTCAGAGGTCCAGGTAGGTATAAGTAAATGCAGAAAATAACCCATCATTGGTGATATCAAGATTTTGTTCAGTCATTTTCAGTCATGTTTGACTCTTTGCGATCCCATTTGGGGTTTTCTTGGCAAAGATATTGGGAGTGGTTTTCCATGTCCTTCTCCAGTTCATTTCACAAATGAGGAAATTGAGACAAACAGGGTTAAGAGACTTGCCTAGAGTCACATACCCAGTAAGTGTTTGAGGCCAGATTTGAACTCAGAGAGTTGAGTCTTCCTGACTCCAGGCCTGGCACTCTAGCTACTATATCATCTAGCTGCCAGGACACATATCAAGACACCAGGGCACAACTCTGGTTTCCTTGGTGGTCCCTGTTTCCTAGAAAGTCATAATTTTAGTCTCACAAAGCAATATGGGTCAAAACTGAAGTGCATGTGAGTTTTGGTGTTTTCATTCCATTTTATAGAGCTGCTGAAGTTAACTCTCTTAGACCTTAAAAAAACTCTGTAAGGACATTTTGCACTTTGAAATGAATGTCTTCCTTTAAACTTAGAAAAGTATCCCTCCCTCCTAATGCAATCTTTTTTTATTGGGATCTGTGATTTTACTGGCATAGAAATTCTTTTCACACAATGGCAATTTATCTGCAACTTACTGTCCTGGAAAGCAAATTACATGACAAAAGTGATTCCTATGTTGTTGATGGGTTTTTCTTTTTTTTTTTAATGTAAGTTAGAGGTGGATCTGGATATTAAGAAACCAAAAATGCCAGTTGGAAATAATTTTGTAAGTGTCTAGCATAATCTATAACTAACTTTTGGGAGTTAGGGTTAAGGAAAATAAGACAAGTTCTTCATCAGTTGAAGACAAGGGAAGGAAATTAGCATTTTTTAAGTGGCTGCTATGTGCCTGGCACTTGTACTAGGTTCTTTACAAATATGATCTAGTTTGATCTTCATAACAACTTTCCGAAGTAGGTATGATTATTTTCCCCATTTTACAGTTAAAGAAACTTAGGCAGACAAAGTTTAAGTGAGTTAGCCAGGAAGTATCTGCAGATATATTTGAACTCAGGTTTTCCTCACTCCAAGACTAGGACTCAATCCATTGGGCAATCTAACTTGAGAAAATGTTTCTCAGAGAAAGAAGACTGTTCATGAAAAGAGTTTTTGAAAAACTCATAAAGACCTGTTGATGTTCAAAGATGTAGATTTTGACTGAATGGCAAAAACTTTTTACCCTTTTGGAAGGTGGACATACATTTGAAGTTTAATAATAACTACTTACTTTATCCTCGAGTTCCAGCGTTAAACATTTCATGTCCCTATGATGCTGTTCTTTCAGTTGTTCAATAATCAATTCTGCTTCTATGCTCATGTTTAGTGGATTATAATTTTCAGAACCAAATCCTAAAATACAAATTAGCCCATTTACACTAGATTTTGCTGCTTTTTACATTCCCCCCCCCCAATAAAGTACAACTCTGTAATCTGAGATAAGACATTTTATCTCAGCCTATGATACTTCAGGGAATTCAGGAAATAACTGTATGCAGAACTTACTGTGGTCAAAGAAGTCCTCATCTATGTACTAGGTGAATATTTGGGTAAATTTGTCCTTTAACTCAGGGGTAATGCACTATGCTTTTATTCTCTTGAGCAGGGAAGGAAGATGGAGAGAGGTTGGTAGCAACAACTTTAACCCTCCTAAACTGCTAAGCCATTTGGCAGATGTATAGTCAAAGGAGGAAAGATGTGTACATAGAGCTCTAGATGATCCAGAATACATACACACATATACACACACATACACACAGACAAATAGATATATACAATATATAGATATAGATATATATAATACATATAGATAGATAGATAGATACTATATATATGGGTGTGTGTGTGTGGATAGATAGATAGATAGATAGATAGATAGATAGATAGATATAGATATATAATTCTTGAGATCCACTATGGTTTATTCCACATATTTGATTGCAAAAGAAGAAGTTAACATCAACATTTTTCAAATAATGAATTTTATATATTATCTAGGGGAGTTCTTAACCTTTTTTAGATCATGGAAACTTTTCTCAGTTTGGTAAAGTCTATGGACCATTTCTTCCCACAATTCCAGGCCTTGATAGTGAGCGAAATTAATGGCTAAAAGGTTGGAGTATCAGGATAGGGTCTTTAGTCCTTCTCTGCTATATGTAAGGAAAATCTTACCAGTCAGCAGCTCTCATGTTTTGAAATATCCACCCTCCTCCCCTAGCCTACCTGCCATTTTTCTAAACTAGTTTCTATCTCTAAGAATCTCCTTTCAAAATACAAATGCCCTACTAAGGAAAGGGGGAAGGGCAACCACACAGCTAATTTTAGTTGCAATATTATCAGAGATTATCTAAGAACTAGCTAAAGGCAAAAATACAGCAAAGGAGATGCAACTGAGCAAGGGCTTGTCAAAGGAAAAAAATGCTGGGGGAAAGGAAAAGAAATAATAGACATGTGCTTCTGGTGTATCTGGAAACACGACAAAAAACTAACTTCGCAAACTTTAATTTTTCTAGGACCAGTATTACCACTAAAACTGTCCTATACCCCTTAGGTTCTTAAATTTGATCTAAAATATTCACTTCATCTTCAAGGCCATCAAGAAACAACATAATAGAGATGCAGAAAAATCCCAGGGTCCTTGATACATCCTTTACACCTAAGTATTCTCTTGGAATATATATGGAGAAATCCAAGAGTAATTGAGTATCTAAGTCTAAATAATCAAGGGACTATGCATAGTATCAGCCAGCTATTAAATCAAAGACATTATTTTATATCTGCTCATTTCAAAAATTCCTAGATCAATTGTAGTTCCTAAGGTAATCTCTTCAGTGATTAGGACTTCAAAGAACAAAATGAAAACTCTCTCAAAAACTCCCTCCTTCTTCCCAGATATAGCTGAATAGCTTAGTAAAATAATGTTGACAAGTCATTTTTTCATTTCTTATGATTTGAGTCAAACATACCTAGGTCTCAACAAAGAATGTTTCAAAAGTTTTAGGCTTGAGTGTGTATACCTTGGTCAAGGTCCGTACTGTGATGTCTAACATCAAACTCCTCGGAAAGTGACTTCTTGAAAGGAAGTTTAAACACTTTGCCTTGAGCACGATATTCCTCCAGTTCAGACTGGAGTTCATCCACTTGGTCTTGTAACATCTGAGGGAAAAAATGGCCCAAAATAAAATGGGAGATAAATTCAAATTGTAACATTAGAGCAACAACAATAAAACATGAAGAGCAAAACCCTGGTTCTTGAGGGCAAGACAACAATGTGGTAATTCCTTTCTTGAATATAATAGAAGTCTTACCTTCTAGCAAGCCCTAGTAACTCAAGCTCCATTCAGCACAAGTTCTCTAAATTCGTTTATATTTTAAATGCAATTTGCATGGTTCTTCAACTAACTATTATGCTTCAAGGCAACAGAAAAGGAATTCTTCTAACACTTACTCTGCACTGGTGTTCATATTCAGTTTTCATCCGAGTTAGTCTTTCTTCTTGCAAAAGGAACTCAGCACTGTTGGGATCTAGGTCATGAAACTGCAAGAGGAAAAAAAGCTAGTAGAGAGCTTTCACAGATGTCCCTCCTCATCTGTAACATGCTAGACATTGATTTCTAGGTTTTATCTAGCCTCTTTCACCTGAAAGGAGTTTTATAATTATTTTTAAAAATACCATCAAATAACTGAAAACAAAATGTTCAATCAACTGTAGATAACCAGACTGCTACTTCTTGGTATTATGTGTTTTCTCCTGCTTCCCAAACTCACATAACTGACATTAATACAGATATTTGCAAAAACACATATCCACACTACCAATGATCCCAAACCAAAGTTAAACTACTTTAACATGAGGTTTTTTCAAATGAGACTGTTGTTATCATTTTGAATAAGACACATAAAAATAGAAAAAGAGCAGATTAATAAATTGCATGCAACTAAAAAAAGCTAGAAAAGGAATAAATTTGAAAATCTTCAACTAAATGCCAAATTGGAAATCCTGAAAATCAAAGGAGAAATCAAGAAAAGTGAGAAAACCTTTGAACTAATATATAAAACTAGTAGCTGTTTTTAAGGGAAAAAAAAGAATAAAATAGATGAATCATTGGTTAATTTGATTCACAAAAAGAAAGAAGAAAATCAAATTACTAATATCAAAAATGAAAAGGGTGAGTTCACCACCAATGAAGACGAATTTAAAACAATTATTAGGAGCTATTTTGCCCAACTAGATGCCAACAGATTTAACAATCTAAGTGAAATGGATGAATATTTACAAAAATATAAATATAAATTGCCCAAATTAACAGAAGAAGAAATTGAAATTGAATGAAAAAATACCCAGGAACAGATCAATTCACAACTGAATTCTACCAAGCATGTAAAGAACAAATAATTCCAGTTCTATAGAAACTATTTGGGAAAATAGGCAAAAAGGAAGTCCTACCAAATTACTTTTATGACATAAATACGGTAATGATACCTAAACCAGGAAGACCTAAAACAGAGAGAGAAAACCTTAGACCAATTTCTCTAATGAATATTGATGCAAAAAGTTTTCCTAAAATACTAGCAAGGAGATTACAGCAATATATCACAAAGATCATGCACTATGACCAGGCAAGACTTATACCAGGAATACCAAGGCCAGGTCAATATTAGGAAAACTATCAGCATAAATGACCATATCCATAATAAAACCAACAGAAAATTGAATGGGGATAGAAAAGGATATGCCTTTTTTCTCAGTGTTATATGGCACCTACACAAATATTGACCGTGTATTAGGGCATAATAACCTCACAATCAAATGTAGAAAGGCAGAAATATTACATGCATCCTTTTCAGATCATAATGCAATAAAAATATGTTCAATAAAGGACAGTGGAAAGATAGATGAAAAATTAATTAGAATCTAAATAATATAATTCCAAAGAATTAGTGGGTCCAAGAACAAATCATAGAAACAATTAATAATTTCATTAAAGAAAATGACAACAATGAGACAGCATACTTTAATTTATGGGATGCAGTCAAAGAATATTTGGGGAAATTTTATATCTCTGAACTCTAATATCAATAAAATAGAGTAAGAGAAGATCAGTGAAGTGGGCATTCACTTTTAAAAAAAAACTAGAAAAACAACAAATTAAAAATTCCCAATTCAACACCAAATCAGAAATCATGAAAACCAAAGGTGAGATTAATAAAATTGAAACTAAGAAAACTTTTGAGCTAATAAATAAAACTAGGAGCTGGTTTATGGAGAAAAAAAACAAATAAGATAAATAAACCATTGGCTAATTTGATATTAAAAAGGTGCCAAAATAGCTCCAGTATCAAAAATGAAAAGGGTGAACTCACCACCAATGAATAAGAAATTAAAACAATTCTTAGAACTATTTTGCCCAATTATATGCCAATAAATCTGACAATTTAAGGAAAATTAATGAATATTTACAAAATATAAATCTTCTAGATTATCAGAAGAGGACATAAAATACTTAAATAACTCTATCTTCAAAAAACGAATTGATCAAGCCATCAATGCACTCCCTATGAAAAAATCCCCAGGGCCAGATGGGTTCACAAATGAATTCTTCCAAACATTTAAATAACAATCAATTCTAGTAAAACATAAACTATTTGGAAAAATAGGCAGAGACCTACCAAATTCCTTTTACAGCACAGATATGGTGCTGATACCTAAACCAGGAAGAGCAAAAACAGAGAAAAAAAACTATAGTCCCATTTCCCTGATGAATATTGATGCAAAAAATTTACATAAAATATTAGCAATGAGATTACAGCAATATATCACATGGATCATATATTATGAAGAGCATAGCAGGAATGCAGAATTGGTTTGATATTAGGAAAATATCAGCATACCCGACCATATCAATAACAGAAATCATATATCTCAATAGATATGGGAAAAGCTTTAGACAAAACACAGCACCCATTCCTTTTAAAAATATAGGAAGTATAGGAATAAATGGAACTTTCTTTAAAATGATAAGTAGTATCTATCTAAAACCACCAGCAAGCATTATCTATAATGGGAATAAGCTAGAAGAGATTCCAATAAGATCAGGGGTGAAGTAAGGATGCCCATTATCACCACTATTATTCAATACTGTACTAAAATGCTAATTTTAACAAAAAGTAACTTTAGGAATTAGAATAGAAAATGAGGGAACAAAACTACTACTCTTTGCAGATGATGGCATACTTAGAGAATCCTGGAGAATCAACTAAAAAACTAATTGAAATAATTAACAACTTCAGCAACAATGCAAAATATAAAATAAATGCACATAAACCATCAACATTTCTTTATATTACCAACAAAACCCAGCAAGAAAAACTAGAAAGAAAAATTCTATTTAAAATAATTGCAGATAATATAAAATACTTGGGAACCTACCTGCCAAGACAAAACCCCATAACTATATGAAGACGATTACAAAACACTTTACACACAAATCGTTAGATTTAAACAAAGGGAGAAATATTTACTTAACTCATGGGTAGGCTCAGCCAGTATAATAAACATGACAATTTTAACTAAATTAATTCCAATCACACTACCAAAAAAGTATTTTAGAGCTACAAAAAAATAATAAAATTCATCTGAAAGAACAAAAAGTTAAGAATATCAGGAGAATCCATATAAAAAAAAATTTGAAGGAAGATAGCCTAGCTCTACCAGATCTCAAACTATATTACACAGTGATAGTCATCAAAACAATCTGGTACTGGCTAGGAAATGAAGTGGTCGATCAGTGGGATATATTACATACACAATATGCAGTAGTAAATGACCGTGGTAATCTGGTATTTAATAAACACAATAATCTAAATTTTGGTGGCAATAACTCACCATTTAGCAAAAATTTTTGGGAAAACTGGACAATAGTTTGGCAGAAACTAGGCAGAGACCAACATTCACACTGTATACCAAAATCAGGTCAAAATGGGTACATGATTTAGACATAAATTGTGATACCATAAGCAAAAGAGAGGACCATGAAATAATTTACCTCTCAGATCTGTGGATGCGGGAAGAATTTACGACAAAGCAATAGCTAGAGAGCATTAAGGCAAATAAAATGGACAATTTTCATTGCTGCTCAATTGTTTTCAGTCATGTCCAGCTCTTCATGATCCTATTTGGGCATTTTTTGTTTTTTAGCAAAAATACTGGAGTAGTTTGCCATTTTCTTCACTAGCTCATTTCACAGAAGAGGAAACTGAAGTAAACAAGGTTAAGTGACTTGCCCAGGGTCACACAGCTAGTAAGTGTCTGAGACCAGATTTGAAATCAAGATGATAAGTCTTCCTTAGACCAGTCCTGGCATTCTGACCACTGAACCACCTACATGCCCTAATTTTGATTACATTAAATTAAAAAGATTTTGTGCGCGCGCATGCGTGTGCACACACACACACACACACACACACACACACACACACACACACAATTCCCAATGCAGCCAAGTTTAGAAGAAAAGCAAGAAAATTTTACAGCAAGTCTCTCTGACAAAGGACTTATTTCTCAAATATATAGGGAAATGAATCAAATTTATAAGACCATAAGTCAATCCCCAATTGATCAATGGTCAAAGGATATGAATGAGCAGTTTTTAGAAAAAGAAATAAATACTATGTACAGTCATATGGAAAAAATGCTCTAAGTCACTATTGGTTAGAGAAATGCAAATTAAAACAACTCTGAGGTACCACCTCATACCTATCAGATTGGCTAAAATTATAGGAAAGGAAAATGACAAATGTTGGAGGGGATGTGGAAAAATAAGGACACTAATGTATTGTCAATTGAGTTGTGAACTAATCCAACCATCCTGAAGAGCAATTTGGAACTGTGTCCAAATGACTACAAAACTGTGACCTAGCCTTTGACCTAGCAATAGCACTACTAGGTCTAACTCTCAAAGAGATCAAAGGAAAAGGACTTATTTGTACAAAAATATTGATAGCAGCTCTTTTAGTGATAACAAAGAATTGAAAATTAAGGGAATGCCCATCAGTTGGGGAATGGCTAAACACATTATGTTATATGATTGTAATGGAATGCTACTGTGCTTTACAAAATGACAAGCAGATCTATATCCAGAGAAAGAACTATGGAGTCTGAATGCAGATTGAAGCATACTATTTTCACTTTTTTTGTTTTTTGTCTTTTCTTTCTCATGATTTTCCCCTGTTGTTCTGATTCTTCTTTCACAACATGACTAATGCGGAAATATGTTTAATATGATGTACATATATAACCTATATCAGATTGCTTTCTATCTTGGGGAAGGGGGATGAAAAGGAGGTAGAAAAAAAAATTTGGAATTCAAAATCTTATAAAAGTGAATGTTGAAAACTATCTTTACAAGTAATTAGAAAAAAAATGAATATTCTTAAGTGAAAAAAAAAGAAAGAAATGATGAGCAGGATACTTTCAGAATAAACTGGGAAGACTCATGATCTGATGCAAAGTAAAGTGAACAGAACCAGAAGAACATTGTACAGAGTAACAGAAATATTGTATGATGATCATCTGCGAATGACTTAGCTATTCTCAGCAATACAGTGATCCAAGATAATTATAAAGGATTTTGATGAAAAATGCTATCCACCTCCAGAGAAAGAATGATGGAGTCTGAATACAGATCAAAGCATACTTTTTAAACTTTTGGGGTTTTTTTCAGCAGAGGGTTGCTTTGGCAAAATGGTCAATATGGAAATATCTTTCACATGATCACACATAAATAATCAATATTTAAAATGTTAATTGTTTTTACATTAAGAAAAAAATAAAAAAGAATAAATCATATCATCTTAAACAAGCATCTGACCTTTTCTGCTAGCATATTGTCCAAATTCTTCTGCAGTTTGGTTATCAGACTCTCATACTCTGCAAGCTTTTCTGTATTTTCCAGTAGTTCACTTTCTAAACGACTGTTTTCCTAGAGAAAATTGAAAATCACATTTATAAAAAGTTTCCCTAATTTTTGCACGATGTCCTATAAGGCATAAAACACTGCTTATTACTATTATTTCCTCCATTTTGAAATGAGCTAAAGGTACATAAAACCACTGACATAAAACCTAGTCACGATGGGTTTTTTTGTTTTTGTTTTTAGAAAAGATGATGCCAGTAGTAAACAAAGATTGTTAGCCAGGGGAAGATATGTGTGTACAAAGAATCTCTGAGTAATCCAGAAGACACATCTGGCACCCAGAAAAGGGATTCTTGAGACCCATTAAGGTTGCTCCACATATTTGGCTATCCTAAAGGAGAGATAATATGACAACAGTCTTTTAATAATGAACTTTAGGTACTATTCAAAGCAAGACTTCATAATTTTTTGTGTGTCATAAGGTGAAGTTTATGGATCCCTCCTCAGAATAATGTTTTTAAATGCAAATAACAAAATACAAAGGATTACAAAAGAAACCAATTACATTTTTTAAAACCAAGTTTATAGGCTAGGTTAAGAACCTTTGATATAGAGCAAATATAAAAATAAGTACACTGTATAAACCCAATACAAAATAAATTTAGAGCAGGCCTAATAAAAACCAGGCATCAGAGATAATAATGCTGTAGAAGAAAAAAAATGCTAGATTAGGAAATATGAAACCTGTATTCTAATCCTGCCTCATATACTTATACTAACTATTTGACAAGGGGAAGTCACTTAACCTGTCAGAGGTTCAATTTCCTCATCTATAAATAGGGATGATAATATTTGCACTACTTACCTCATAGGGTTGCTATGAAGAATGCAATCTGCAATTCTTAGAGTGCTATATAAATGTGAGTTATTATTATAATCAATAACAAGAATATGTATAGTAGCTGCAGTAACAGTAGTAGTAAATGGTGGCCAGGAAACAATGGTATTCATAAATGTTGGCCAGGACAAGCTAGATTCTATAGGTCAAACAGAACTTTATTAAGCTAATTCATTTGTGCCATGTCTAGTTGAAAATATATGTGGCCTATAAAGCCTCAAAACATCTTCACTCGAGAAAAAAAGAACTGACAAAATCAGCTGGCTTTGTTGCAGCTGAAAACATTAGTCAAGGGTTAGAAAATAAGAGAGTAATAATCCGCATTTTGTTACTATTATCACTGTTGGCAATCTTATTTATTCTAATCTTTGTAGCTGAAGGTGTAGAAGCTCTATTCATAGGCCTGCATTGGAATATGAAAAGAAAACCAACGCACTTCAAGCTTTCAAGATATTGGGCAGGATATTTTATTTCACTGACATGGAGAACTCAGGATGAGAAAATTTCCTTCTGCCAATGTAGGCAGGCACCTGGTTCTCTACAACTTCTCACCTTTAGTGAGTTGCCTAAGCCAATGAGAGGTAGAGAGATTTGCACAAAGTCACACAGTATGGGGGCAGCTAGGTGGCGCAGTGGATAGAGCACCGGCCCTGAAGTCAGGAGGACCTGAGTTCAAATCCGGCCTCAGACCAAACACTTGACGCTTACTAGCTGTGTGACCCTGGGCAAGTCACTTAAACCCAATTGCCTAAAAAACAAAACAAAACAAAAAAGTCATACAGTATGATTCAGAGGTTCTACCAGAACCCAGTATTCAAAATGTACTTGACTACAATGATAGGTCAGTGAATTAACTAGATGTTTCATCTGAGAACAATGAGAAGACAAAAGCAGAACACTAAGGATGAGTAGAACCAAGACTGGTGACTACAATTCAAGCCTGAAGAGAGATGACTAGATCTCATGAAACAACTCAAAATAATCTGGACTGATAACAATCCAAAATTATTCCCTTCTAGATTAAATGTCTTCTACTAGGCACTTCCTTCTCTGCAGAGCTGGGGGACTATGGGTATGGGTATAATGTCAGATTTTTGGCATGCTGCTTATTTGACTATACTGTTCTCTCTCTGCCCCTTTTTAATCCTTAACATAAAAGATTTCTCTCTTTTAAGGGGGGAGGGAACACTGAGAAATTCAGGTGATATAGAAAGACAGCAAGAGATTGTATTTTTTTCTTAAAGTCTTCTCCAAAAAGTACCCATATTTCAGAATTAGGGGTGAGGAAGATTTTGTTCTGTATTATGGTAGGCAACTAAGTGGTATACTGGATAGAATGTAGGGGTCAGAAGACCTGAATTTGAATCTTGACTCATACTGTCAAACCTAGGCAAATCATTTGACCTTCTCATCCTCATCCTCATCTGTAAAATTAAAGTAACAATAGTACCTACCTCACAAGATTGGATCAAATGAAATCAAATACATATAACTCTTTGTTAACCTTGAAGCACTACATGTGTTGGCTATTTAATTTGGTTTGTTACCTTTAAGGAGAAGGTAAGACGGTCCCGAATGTAGTTCTCTTCAGTTTTCATCTTTTCTATTTCCTGCTCCAGTTCCAAATGCTGTTTGCCTACCTGCTGCAGGATCTGTTCTCTCTCCTTTTGGATATCGTTCTTGAAAGATGCTATCTTTTCCTTGTATACTTCCTCCAGTTTCCTACATGTAGGAGTACCAATAAGCTGCTATCAAAATGCTTACATCATCATCTTAAAATAATGTAAATGCAAAAGATAAAATCAAAGAGATAAAAAGGACCTTGAAATAAATCATCTAATCTCTTTGTTTTCCTGTAAACCAGAGGTGGGGAACTTGTGGCCTCAAAGCCACATGTGGCCCTCTAGGTCCTCAAGTGTGGCCCTTTGACTGAATCCAAACTTCGCAAAACAAATCCCCTTAATAAAAGAATTTGTTCTGTAAAACTTGGACTCAGTCAAAAGGCTGCACCTAAGGACTTGGAAGGCTGTATGAGGACTCAGGTTCCCTACCCCTGCTTTAGACAGTCACATAAATTATTACAATGGCAACCATTATATCCTACTTTATTCAGATAATTAAGCAGCAGTTCTCTAAGTTTTGCTTTGGTGATACTAATACAATGTCTTTTGATGAAGGGGTAGGTGAATGAATTTCCAGACTACTACTGGTCTTACCTGAGGTTTATATTCATATTGGTGTTCTATGGAAGCATGATGGTCATCCACTTCAGAGGCCATTAAAGACTTTAGTTTTTCAGCTTTTTCAAGATCTGACTGCAACTTCTCTTTTTCTCTGGTTACTTGGTCAATTTGCTCCCTGGAGGAAAACAGAGTTGAAGTTAGACCATTCCTAGGCAAATTTCCTAACCCAATAGCACTTACAATTTCCCAACCCCAAAGCCCTTATCTCAATGACCTCATATACTTGCTTGTTTTGGTAACAAAAAGTCATCATTAAGAATATTTCAGAATTTTATTTACAATACAAAAAAAAAGACTCCATCTGCATATACTTCAAAGTATGTTAGTACAGGAGGATACCCAACCAAAGAGCTGCCATATCTCCACACAGAATAGAAGATGCCATGTAATAATTACCTTAACAAATTGCTAGATAAGAATTAAAGGACAACATGTACAAAAATATTCGTAGCAGCTCTTTTTGTGGTGGCAAAGAATTGGAAATTGAGAGGACGCCCATCAATTGGGGAATGGCTGAGCAAGTTGTGGTATATGAATGTAATGGAATACTATTGTTCTATAAGAAATGATGAACAGGCTGACTTCAGAAAAACCTGGGAAGACTTATATGGTCTGATGCTGAGTGAAGTGAGCAGAACCAAGAGGACTTTCTATACAATAGCAGCCACATTGTGCAATGACTAAGAATGTTAAACTGAACCCTTCTCTCAGCATTACGAGGATCTAAGACATCTCCAGAGGCCTCGGGATGGAAAATGCTGTCCACATCCAAAGAAAGAACTATGGAAGTCGAATCACTATCACTTATTTTTACCTTCAGTTGAGTTTTGTTTCATCTTTCTGATGGTTCCTCGTATTGGTTTTAATTTTTACTTACAACTTCACTAATGTGAAAATATGTTTAATGGGCATGTAAATGTAAAGCCTATGTCAGATTGTGCACCGTCTTGGGGAAGGTGGGGGGGAAAAAGGGAGAAAAAAATTTCAACTCAAAAGCATATGGAAAAAAAATTTTTTTAAATAAAAATAAACAAACAAACAAACAAACAAATATTACAGGAAGTCACTAAGAGAAATGAACATTTAACAATACTGGATTCACCTCAAATTAAATTTACAAACATAAAAAAAAGATGCTGTTTAAGAAAGGAGTTCTTAATAAATACTGGTGGTAGATCTTTAATAAAAAAAAAAAAAAGAAAGAAAGAATTAAAGGACACAGTAACAGGATAGATTTTTGATCAACTCACGACAAGTGCCTGATCTCAGTCTTGAAGCTGGCCAGGGCTGCCTGGTGCATGCCATTTTTGGTGATTAAAAGCTCATTTTCTAGTGCCAAGGTCAACTCCATTAAGTTGATGCTTCCGTCAAGGCTGAAATCCAAGGCCTAAAGATCAGTAAAATATCATCAATTGAAGGCAGCTAATACCCTTTCTCTAGAGAGTAAAAGGAAAGAAGTTTATAAAAATTTTAAGAGCCAAATTTTTGGTTTGCACATTGAGGACTATACTTCTTTAATAACTAGAATATTAAAGAGCACTACAAATTGAAGGAAAGCTTAGTAAATTATTGGTAATTTGTTTTTGTGAACAAATATCTGTTTCCTCCCATCTTTCCTTCCACTGTAATAGGTCTCTCATGTCTCTTCATGTGAAATAATTTACCCCATTCTAGCTCTCCTTTCCCTCTTTTCCCAGTACAATTATCTTTCTGACCCCTTAATTTTGTTTTTTTGGGATATTATCCCATCAAAGTCAATTTATACCTGCACCCTCTATGTATACTCCTTTTAACTGCCTTAACAGTGATAAAGTTCTTAAAAGTTACAAGTATCATCTTCCTGTATAGGGATGTGAACAGGTTAAGCTTATTGAATCCCTTATGCTTTCTATTTTTTGTTTACCTTTTTATGGTTCTTTTGAGTCTTGTATCTGTAAATCAAATTTTCTGTTCAGTTCTGATCTTTTCATTATGAATGCCAAAAAGTCTTTTATTTCATTGAATATCAATTTTTTCCCCCACAGGATTATACTCAGTTTCACTAGGTAGATGATTCTTGGTTGGAATCTTAGCTCCTTTGCTCTCCAGAATATTATATTCCAAGCCCTCTAATTCTTTAAGGCAGAAGTTTCTAAATCCTTTTATTCTCAAAATATGATATGCAGGATTTTTTTTTTGATTATGACATTCAGGTAGTCCAATAATTCTTAAATTATCTCTCCTGGAGCTCTTTTCCACGTCAATTCTTTTTCCAATGAGATATTTAACATTTTCTTCTACTTTTTCAACCTATTGATTTTGTCTGATTCATTCTTGATGCTTCATTGATGAGTCATATTCCACTTTCCCAATTCTAATTTTTTTTCAATTTATATATTTATTTTTAGTTTTCAACATTCACTTCTATAAGATTTTGAATTCCAATTTTTCTCCCAATCTCTTCCCTCCCCCCACCCTAAAATTCTGATTACCCCTTCTGCATTCTGATTACCCCTTCCCCCAATCTGCCCTCTTTCTATTACCCCGTCCCTTCTCTAATCCTTTCCCCTTCTATTTTCCTGTAGGGTAAGATAGATTTCTATACCCCATTGCCTGTGTATCTTATTTCCCAGTTGCATGCAAAAACAATTTCCAACATTCATTTTTAAAACTTTGAGTTCTAAATTCTTTCCCTTTCTCCCTTCCCTCCCACCCTCATTGAGAGGGCAAGCAGTTCAATATAGGGTATACATGTGTAGTCATGCAAAACACTTCCATAATAGTCATGTGGTGAAAGATTAACTATATTTTCCTCCAACTCACCCCACCCCAACCCCCATTTATTCTATTCTCTCCTTTGACCCTGTCCCTCCTCAAAAGTGCTTGCTTCTGATTACCCCCTCCCCCAATCTGCCCTCCCTGCTATTATTCGCCCACCTCCTTATACCTTTCCCTAGTACGGTCCTATAGGACAAGATAGATTTTCATACCCAATTGAGTGTGTATGTTATTCCCTCCTTAAGCCACATCCAATGAGAGTAAGATTCACTCGTTCCCTCTCACCTCTCACCTCCCTCTTCTTCCCCTCCACTGTAAAAGCTTTTCCTTGCCTCTTTTATGTGAGATAATTTAACCCATTCTACCTCTCCCTTTTTCCTTCTCCCAATTTCTCTCACCCCTTATTTTTTAGATATCATTCCTCCCCGATTGTGATTTTTAAGGAATTATTTTCTTCAGTTAGCTTTTTTACCTCCTTTTCCACTTGGGTAATTCTACTTTTAAAGGAGTTGTTTTCTTCAGTGAATTTCTGTACAGCTGTTCCCACTTTTTGTGCTTCCTTTACCAACCTGTTGACTTTTTCTTCATCATTCTCTTGCATCACTCTCATTTCTATTCGCAATTTTTCTTTTATCTATGATTTTTAAATTCTTTTTGGAGCTCTTCCAGGAGTTCTTTCTAGGCCCGAGACCAATTCACCTTCTTTTGAGGCTTCACAAGTACGCGTTTTAACATTGTTGTCCTCTTCCAAGTTTGTGTTTTGATCTTCTCTGTTACCATAGTAACTTTCTATGGCCATGTTCTTTTTTTTTGTTTTGCCTCATTCTTTGGGCCTATTTCATGACTTTTAAAGTTGAGCATACTTCTGAGGTTGAGAGGGCACTATCACAAGCTTCTTGCACCAGGGGCCCAGGGCCTGACCACTTGCTGGCTGTATGGGTGCTTGAAGCCTCACAGTTGCCTACTGTATCACTGTACTGGGGCTATGGGCCCTTGCTGCTAACCTGTGATGGGGAACAGGGCCTCCCACTGACTTGCTGGGGTGCAGCCTGGTGCTAGCTTGCCCGGATGCTGTTTGCACTGGACCATGCCCCTCTTTTACCAAAGTGAGACAGACCTTTCCTGCTGACCTTTTAGGTTGTTTTGGGGCTGGAAAATTGTTTCACCCCATCTTTTTTGTTGGTTATGCCATATTTTATAGTTGTTTAGAAGTAAATTTGGGAGAGTTCAGGTGAGTTCCTGCCTTATTCCACCATCTTGGCTTTGAACTCCCATAGTCATCATTTCTTACAATTCTATAACAATTAAGTACATGCATGTGCTAAAATTTATTTAGCTTCTCATTATACAGTGAGCACCGCCCCCCTTTTTGTTTTTTTTTTGCAATTCTTTGTTATCACAAAAAGTGCTACTCTAAATATGTTGTATGTAGGGACTTTTTTTTTAATCAGTGGCCTCCTTGAGATATAGGCCTACTAGTGGAATCTTTCAAAGAGTATGGACATTTTAGTCACTTCATTTGCACAATTCTGAATTACTTTCCAATATATTTGTACCGGTTTATAGTTTCACCAACAATGTAGTAGTATGCTCATCGAAGGGAGGGTGAATTGGGCAAAGCAGTAGTCAGAAGCAAAACACTTTTGAAGAGGGACAGGGTGAAAGGAGAGGGAGAATAGAATAAATGGGGAAAAATAGGATGGAGGGAAATAGAGTTAGCAATCATAACTGTGAAAATATTTTTGGAGCAAGTTTCTCTGGAAAAGGCCTCATCTCTCAAATTTATAGAGTAATGAGTCAAATTTATTTAAAAAAAAATAAAGAGCCATTACTTAATTGACAAAAGATCAAAAAGTATGATTTTTATAAAAATTTTTCAAAAATTATGAGTTTTCAGATGAAGTAATCAAAACTATAGCCATATGAAAAAAAATGCGCTAAATCACTTTTTTTTTTTGGTGAGACAATTGGGGTTAAGTGACTTGCCCAGAGTCACACAACCAGTGAGTGTTATATGTCCACCTAGCTGCCCCTCTAAATCACTATTGATAGGAGAAATGCAAATTAAAACAATACTGAGGTACTCTATCAGATGGGCTGATAGGACAGAAAAAGAGAATAAATGTTGGAAAAGATGTGGGAAAACTGAGACACTAGTGCACTGTTGGTGGAATTATGAACTGATTCAAAATTATATAGAGCAATTTGGATATATGTCCAAATACTTATAGCAGTTCTTTTCTGTTGGAAATTGAGAGGATGCCCAATCAATCGGGAGAATGGCTGAACAATCTGTGGTATGATTACAACAGAAGATTATTGTGATATAAGAAATGATGAGCTAGATGCTTTCAGAAAAACCTGGACAGACTTATATGAACTGATGCAAAGTGAAATAAGTAGAACCAGGAGAACACTATACACAGTAACAGCAATATTGTAATATGATCAACCATGAATGACTTAGCTATTCTCAGAAATTATCCAAGACAACTTTGAAGGACTTATCATGAAAAATGCTATCCATCCCCAGAGAAAAAATTGATTGAGTCTGACTACAGATCTTAGCATACTTTTTTCAACTTTAATTTTCTTGGGTTTTTATTTTGGTCTATGTTTTCTTTTACAACATGAAAAATACATTTTGCATGATTACCCATGTATAACCTATATTAAATTGCATGGAATTCAGTTCTAAAAATGAGTGTTGAAAATTGTTTTTATAAGTAATTGGGGGAAAATAAAATATCAAATTAAAAAAAGAAATAGTAAAAATTTACTAGATAAAAAAAGCTGCATCTACAAATTAATCTTAGGAGCTACAGTATCATCTTTGCATGTAGGATGTAAACAGTATAACCTTACCGAATCCTTATGATGTCCTTTTCCTGTTTACCGTTTTATGTTTCTCTTGAGTCTTGCTTTGAATGACTAGTCAGCTCTGGTCTTTTCATCAGGAATGCTTTAAAGTACTCAATTTCATTAAATGTCCATTTTTCCCCAGCAGGATTTCACTCAATTTTGCAAAGTTAAATTTAAAACTCAAAAGCTTATGTAAGTGATTGTTGAAAACTATAAATAAATTAATTTTTAAAAGAGTTTGGATTGACAGTTGGGGAATGGCTGAACAAGTTGTGGTTTATGAATGTAATGTAATACTATTGTGCTATAAGAAAGAAGGAGCAGGCAGACTTCAGAAAAACCTGGAAAGACCTGTACGGACTGATGCTGAGTAAAGTGAGCAGAACCAGGAGAATACTGTACACAATAACAGCCATATTGCGTGACGAATGACTTTGACAGAGTTAGTTCTTATCAGCAATGCAAGGATCTAAGACATCTCCAAAAGTCTCATGATGGAAAATGCTACCCACATCCAACGAAAGAACTATGGAGTTTGAATGCAAATCGAAGCATCCTATTTGTTCCCCTTCTCCTTTGCTGTTTTGTTTTATTGCTTCATTCTCATGGTTCCTCCTGCTAGTTCTAATTGTTCTTTACATCATGACTAATGGGAAAATATGCTTAATATGAATGTATTAAGTAGAGCCTATATCAGATTGCACATCATCTTGGGGGGCGGGGAGAAAACTGAAAACTCAAAATCTTATGGAAGTGAGTGTTGAAAACTAAAAATAAGTAAATTAATTATTTAAAAAAATTTACTAACCATCAATTAGAATACTGAATTAAAAAAAAGTATTCTTATTCATATTTGCTCATTATTGTCCTAGAAGGTATGCTGTATTGAATCATTCAGCAACAGAGTATATTAATTCAAGTTCCATTTGAAAGAAAAGAGACAGAAACCACTTACCTCTAAACCTTCTAAGGAAATAATCAGTCATGGAAATTGATGAACCCGTTATATTTCCCTTAAAACTTGACCCTCTTCCAAACTCCTCTATTTCTGTTGCTTATATCACTTCAAAAATTCTAGTAACTTTTGCTTCTTCCCGTCTCTCACCCCTAATATCCAAATATTTGTTAAGTTTTAGATATAGTATTTACCTTGGCAATAACTCTTTCATCTTTTCCCTTTACTTATACTGCCACCACTGTGCCAGTTTAATTCATTTAGCTCATCTGCACTGTTGAAATACCCTCTTCACTATAATAGATGACATTTATATAACGCTTAAACATATGAAGTGTCTTACATACATGTTTTGAACTCTATCTTTAGTTTTCTCCTTCCAATCCATTCTTCACACAGTTTCCAAAATAACTTCCCTGAAGTACAAGCTTAATCATGTTACTTGAATACTTAAAAGACTTAACTCCTTTTTGTTTCCAGGATAAAATGTTAAAGCCTAGCACTCCACAACATAACTTCAACTTATCTTTTCATCCTCATTTTGAAGAGGCAGTGCTGAATAACAGATAGAAAACTGGCCTCAAAACAAAGAAGATTTTGGTTTAAGTCTCTCTTCTGATACAAAGTAGACATATGACCATGCACTAGCACATAACCACTCAGTGCTGTAAGGCATCTAAGAATATAAGTGCTGCAGAAAAGGTACCTGCCTGGATTGGCCATAGTAGTTTCCTTACCAGGGAGTTTCTCATACTAATGAAGACATAAGTCCAGTCCCTCTGCCTATACTATCTCCTCCACATGTTTATGACAAACTGACTACTAGTGCTAATTTTTTCCTAAAATCTTTCCTGTCTCTATGCATTTGTACCAGTTGTACCCAAAACCTGAAATATACTAAATTACTCTACTGTTGAAATTATCTTCTTTCAAGTACACCTTGGGTGCCACTGGTTCCATGTAAGCTTCCCTGGCTCCCCTGACTAGGTGAAAGAGATTTTTCTTTCTTCAAATTTCTTATCACACTTTGTTTAAATCTCTTCTTAGTCTTTAGCAATTTTAGTTTGTATTATACTTATTTGCACATTTTTTAAAATCTTCTACATGAAACTATCAACTGCTTGAAAGCAATGACTGCTTTTCATCTTTGTATCTCCAATGTCCAGTACAGTGCTTTGTACATAGAGTGCTCAATAAATAATTACTAAAGAAATAATTATTAAATAAATTAAATTATTAAATAATTGAGTCAAAAAGTAGAGTTTCAAAAAGAATTATTATTTAAGATGTTTCATTGATGATGCTAATTTTTTTCTCCATTTGCTGAGTTACCTTTAAGATCTCCTGGCCATTCTCAATGCCCTCTTCATTCCAGGTGTCAAGTATTTGCTCCACAGAGCCATACCCCATTCCATCATCGAGGCAAGAGAATAATCTGAAGGTAATTGAACTTGTAATTGCTGAAGAAGTCATGGTGCGTCTCCCACTTTCATCAAAAGACTAGAAGAGGGAGAGAAATTCTGTAGGCTCAGCTTGGCCCTGCATATTTCACTGCTACAGTTGGCAGATGCTGGTTAAAAGACTGGAATTTATTGGTCCTATTTAGGTGACCACAACAAGAAAAAGACATATAATTCTAGAAAATACTTCAGCTGAGAAAGAAGTCCTTCTATCCTTTTAATCTCCTTCTCCTTAGAATACTAAGACTATGAAGTTTCCTAAAAAAACCAAACAAACCCTACCTAACAATAGGTTTTCTAAAATGAGTAAAGAAGCCTGTTCTATTTTAAGCAAAACCTTCTAATTCAGAGGTGATGTTAACAGGCTAAATAAATGGGTTATTAAAAACACAAAAATATCTGAAAACCAATTTTTGTCTTTCCTAACTTTTATCTCACTCCTCAAGATTTGTGACTTTCTATACCAATGACATTATAGCATAAAATAAGGATGTTGCATATAAGAGCTGAATTTCTTATCTCCCAAAAGAACCAAGAGTGGTTTCTGGCAGTGAGGGTTATGGGATCCTTTGGGAATTTGATAACAGTTACTAGAGGAATCTTCATGGAAACTCAATGATATCAGACGCATAAAGGGTCAGAAAGAGAGGGGAATTGGAAATATCTCTCAACTCTGTCAAATTATCTGAAGCTGGAAAAATGGCTACTAACAGCAACTAGTAGCAGAACTTGTCCCAACTTGTAGCAAAAGTATTCCCCTGCTTCAGGTCAGGTTTATGCAAATTTTACTATCCCTTCCCTTTAAATTATGGTTTTTTTTGGAGACTCTTACTCCTGATCTTATTGATCACTGGCAAATAGTCAAACAACTTTCTAACTCCACTTCATGGAGAAATAATTTTCTATGTGACCCTTACCTGCATGGAAAGCTGCCTTTTCAACTGTCTATAAGGAGTTGATGCTGATGTTGTAAGGGGTTTTCCATTTTTAAACAAACCATAGAAAAAATCTTTCAAATTCATTGTATCATCAGGCTTAAGATCATGGAAGATATCTTCAAATATCTGGAAAGAAGTTAAGCAAGAATATAAATCTTAAAATACTTCTTTGTTCACATAAGAAGTTGTAAATAAATAAATACTTCTCAAATGCCTTGCAAGTTTCTTGCCTCCGTGTGTGTGTGTGTGTGTGTGTGTGTGTGTGTGTGTGTGTGTGCAGGTGCAGCATCATAACAAACCTGCCAAGTAGGTATTTCCCATATTACAGATAGGTGCAATCTTTGATAGGTTAAGTAATATGCTTCAATACAAAGTACTGGAGTACTGAAGTTTGGAAAAAGGTTGCTAATGAAACTTAAAAGTTTTCAATTGTCGTTGGTTGTGCTAGAGCACAGACTCAAACTCGGGCTGATTCTAAATCTTATGCCCTTTCCATGAGAATACCTCTGTGGACTAATGGCTGAGTTCCTTCTCTACATTTAGGCAGTGGCACCTGGCAGCTGAATTTCCAGAGATAAGAATGGTCAGAGTAAAAGAAAATTCCCAAGTAGGTTGGAGCAGCATTTGGATCATTATCTAGGGAGAGGTATTTACTTGAGTTGATGGTCCTGATCCTTCTATGTATAGCGGCGGGTGAGGAAGAGAGGAGGTATGGAGTTAAAATAAATGGCTGTGTAGGAGCAGCAAGGTGGTGCGGTGGATAGAGCACCAGCCCTAGAGTGAGGAGGATCTGACTTCAAATCCTGCCTCAAACACTTGACACTTACTAGCTGTGTGATCCTGGACAAGTCACTTAACCCCAACTGTCTCTCCAAAAAAAAAAAAAAAGAATAAATAGCTGTGTGAACTAAAGGTCATAGGATTAAAAATGAGAGGGAAAGGAATAAATATATACATCCCAGTCTCAGTTTGAGGGTTGACTTTATTTCTGTAAGAAAACATTGCTACTATTTAAAATGGAAATAAAAATAAAGAAAACTTGTCTTGTGGTCAAGACAATAAAAAACTAGAGTACTGAAGAGTGCACAAAGGAATTTTTACTAATGAAGTGCTTATTTTCATTCAAGACTATCCCATATAAGAAATGAACAGGCTGACTTCAGAAAAACCTAGAAAGACTTGTATAGTCTGATGCTGAGTGAAGTGAGCAGAACCAAGAGAACGTTGTACACAATAACAGCCACGTTGTGCGATGACTAATATTGATAAACTTAACCCTTCTCAGCAATACAAGGATCTAAGACATCTCCAAAGGCCTTGTGTTGGAAAATGCTATCTACATCCAAAGAAAGAACTATGGAAATTGAATCACTATCATTTTTTTTCTCTTCTGTTGAGCTTTGTTTCCTCTTTCTGATGGCTCCTCCTATCGGTTTTAATTTTTACTTACAACTTCACTAATGTGAAAATATGTTTAATAGGAATGTAAATGTATAGCCTATATCAATCAGATTGTGTGCCATCTTGGGGAGGGTGGCGGGGAGGAAGGGGGAGAAAAGTTTTAAACTCAAACGCATATGGAAGTGATTGTTGATAAATCAAAATAAATTAATAAAATTTTAAAAAAGTAAAAAAACAAAAAACAAAAAAAAATGACTATCCCAAAACCATTGTCAGTGGAAGTCTAAGAGACTTTGGAAGATGCAGCAATCTAACGCAAAACATTCACCCCAAAAAAGTCTTTTTGGGATTTTTACTTCTGCTGGGCCTGTCAAAAGGATGAACTTGGATAATTAAATTGATATACTGAGAAGCAGAATTGTTCCTCAATTACAAAAGCTCCAAAATGGAGATGGAATATTATAATGTGATTTTGAAATACACATCATAAAAGGTTAAGAAATTTATCCAATAATTTTTTTAAAAATCTAATTTTCAATTTTATTTTTTCTTCCTCCCAACTTCACTTCCTTTATAATGAACAAAAGGAGAAAAATAAAAAACCTTATAACAAATATGCATAGTCAAGCAAAACAAATTCACACACAGACCATTTCCAAAAACATATGCCTCATTCTTCACTTTAAATGCATCATCTCTCTATCAGAAGATGAGAAGCATCATTACTAATCCCCCATAAGTTGTTCATTACATTGAGGGAGTAGTCAAGTTTTCCAAAGTGGTTTTTCTTTATAATGTAGTTATCATATAAATTGTTCTTCTAATTCTTCTCAATACTCTCTAAGTCACCTCGTATAAGTCTTCTTCCCAGTATTCTTGGAAATGGTTCATTAGTTCATTTTGCACAAAAGAGTAGCTATAAATGTTTTTGTAAACATAAATACTTTTCTCTCTCTTCAATTTCTTCAGAGGTATAGGCCTAGTAGTAGTAACATTGAGTTAAAAGGTTTAGTTTAGTGACTTTTGGAGAATAGCTGCTATCTAATTTGGTCCAATTAGCTTGACAATGATGCATAGCTCCACCAATAATGCATCGGTGTGTCTATTTTCCAGCAGTCTCTATAACATTTGTCATTTTCTTTTATTGTCATTTTTTCCCTAATCTAAGAACCACAGAGTTGTTTTAATACCCATTTGTCTAATTATTACTGACATGGAGCATTTTTCATATGGTTACTGAGGCACATAAAGTGGTGGATATAGTGCTGGGTCTTGAATCAAGAAAATCTAAGGTCAAATCTGGCCTTAGATACTTACTAGCTATGACCTTGGGCAAGCCAATTAACCTTTATTTGCCTCAGTTTCCTCAACTATAAAATGAGGATAATAATAGCATTGACCTCCCAGTGTTGTTGCAAGGATAAAAATGAGACATTTGTAAGGAACTTGGCATGTAGTGCCTGGCACATAATAGGTGCTTTTTAAATGCTAGCTTTGATTTCTTCCTTAGAATACTGACTGTTTATATCTTTGATCACTTGCATAATAGGAAATGGCATTTGCTTTTATACATTTGAATCTGTTCATTTCGTATTTTGAAAATGAGACCTTTATCAGAAGCTTGATGAAAAGAATTTTTTTCAGTAGCCTGCTTCCTTTCTAATTTTAGTTTCATTGGTTTTGATTCTATAAAAATATTTAAAATTTTATGTATTCAAAAACAACAGTTTTAATTTCTAGGATAGTCACTATCTTTTTATTTGCTCATGCTCTCTTCCCCTACTAATAGATTTGAATGGTATTTTTTCCTTGCTCTTCTAACTTGTTTATGATATTACCTTTATGTGATGTCATGCATCTCTTTGCAGCTCAAACTGGTACATCATGTGAAATATTGGTCTACACATAGGTTTGGCCAGACTCTTTTCCAGCTTTTTAAGTTTTGGTTTTAAGTTTAAGGTTTGACTTACACCAGTCCCTACACCAGTAGCTAGAATCTTCAGATTTATTGAACACTGTTATTTTGTTTATTTGGTTTTGTATTTTGTATATCTAGGAGGCAGCTAGGTAGCTCAGTGGATACAGTGTTGGACCTAGAGTCAGGAAGAACTATGCTCAAATCCAGCCTCAGACACTTACTAGCTGTGTGTCCCTGGGCAAGTGACTTAACCTCTGTTTGCTTTAATTCACTGGAAAAGGAAATGGCAAGTCACTTCAATATTTTTGTCAAGAAAAGCTTATGGACAGTATGGTCCACAGGGTCATGAAGAATCAAACACAACTGAACAATAACAACATTTTGTATATATAATGCATTCCACTGACTGACCTCTTTATTTTTTAACCAGCATCAAATACATTTGAAAATAACAATTAATAGTAATAGCATTTGCATAGCACTTTAAGGTTTGCAAAATGCTTTTAAAATATTTCATTTTGGTTCTTCTCAAAAGAGTTAAGGAGGGAGGAGGGAGCCGAAATGGAGGAGTCGAGGCAGCAACCCAGCCCAACTCTTTCAACATTCCCCTGCAAACAACTTTAAAATAATGCATCAGATCAAATTCTGGAGAAGCATAGCTAACAAAAGGTCAAGGTTTTTTCCAGTCCAAGACAATTTAAGAGGTCCACAGGAGAGGTCTGTGTTACCTGGGTGGGGACTAGTTCAGAGTGAACACCACAGCAACACCAGCTGTGGGCTGCAGCAACAGCCCTGTAGCAGCCTCACAATTTCTCACCCAGAGACTATAAGGTGGTTGGACATCAGATCATAAAGAGATTATGCAGGACCATTTGCTAGCACTGGGTGTAGGAGCTGGCACTATTTGGCAACTTCCTTGCCCTACACAGTTCAGGGTTGCAGTTCCACGGCAAAGGAGTCACAAGGGAGCAGGGGCCCTAGTCCCAGCTCCAGGGCAAGAAGAAGCACTAGAGCTTGTGACTGCAGGGTAATAGGGGACCTGGTCACAATTCCAGGACTAAGAAGAGTCCTAGAACCTGTGGCTACTGTGGAAGTGGATGCTTTAAGTAAAGGCCAGATTACAAACCAGAAGAACAGTGACCATGACACTACTTGAATCACATCAGCTTGGAAGCACTGAAAACTTGCAGACCCCCCAAAACTAGCTCTTAAAATAGCATGAAAAACCTGAAGCTTGTGACAGTGTCTCCCCATCACCAGGTGAGCAAAGCTGAACTATAACATGAAATTCAAAGTCAAGAAACAATCTGGGGAAATGAGAGAGAAGAAGAAGAAGAAGAAGAAGAAGAAGAAGAAGAAGAAGAAGAAGAAGAAGAAGAAGAAGAAGAAGAAGAAGAGAAGAAGAAGAAGAAGAAGAAGAAGAAGAAGAAGAAGAAGAAGAAGAAGAAAAAGAAAAAGAAGAAGAAAAGAAGAAGAGGGAGAGGAAGAAGAGGGAGAGGAAGAAGAGGGAGAGGAAGAAGAGGAAGAGGAAGAAGAGGAGGAAGAAGAAGAAGAACTTGAGCATAAAAAGCTACTATAGTGGCAGGGAAGACAAGACACAAACTCAAAACAAGACAACAATGTGAAAATAGTTATAACCAAAGCATCAAAGAAAAATGAGAATTAGACACAAGGCCAAAAAGAATCCTGGAAGAGTTAAATGGAGAGATGAGGGTGTCAGAGGAAAAACTGGCAAGTTAGCAATGCAAGAAAACCATGCAAAGAGCATTAACACCTTGGCAAAAGAGGCACAAAAAATGCAATCAGC